CCAAGCATCAAATAAGAAAAATCTGGACATTATTATGATTGGCATAAAGAAATGAACAAAGTCTTTCTTTTTCACAGACAATGATCTGAGCGAACCAGTGAACAAATGAGCATAAAAACTACACCCTAGAGTAAAGGGTAGAACAAATTAACAACATGAGGATTACAGTGACATAAACCCAAAGATTTCACCACAGAATATCTAACAATATAATAAAAAAACTCAGACATTGATTATTTCCCATCTGACAGACAGAACCATTACTCCTTTAAAGTACACAACCTGTGCAATGTACATATATATATATATATATATATATATATATATACACATGCACACACACACACCATATGTGTAAAGATCATATTTTATAGACGTAAATATACAATTTTCATGAAAATAAAATTCTGCTGAATTTCCTTAAATTATTTTCCATCCATCCATCCATCCATTGTCAACCCGCTTATCCTACTGGGTCGCGGGGGGTCCGGAGCCTATCCCGGAAGCAATGGGCACGAGGCAGGGAACAACCCTGGAAGGGGGGCCAGCCCATCACAGGGCATAAATTATTTTCATATATAGAAATGATTTCATTATAGTGCCATAATGGATCAGATCAGGACTCGATTCCTTTTCAAAAACCCCAGGTTTGTATAGAATTCTTGCATCAGAGATTTTTGCAACAAATAGCATTAAAGGCGAAAAAGTTCAACATTAACTTCCAGTTTATTACTACAATCCGCGTCTCGCTCTGAATTATAAACTACTTTAGAGTAAATCATTGTGCATTAATTGAAAACAGATTTTTACCCATGCTCTCTGGACTGGGTGATATAATCATATTTGGCTGAAGGAATACTACTCTCTGTCCAAAAGGAAAATATGCAAAACACAGTTGGGAGAAGGGACGAATAAGCAAGTTCTTTGTGAAGGTCTGCAGGATTTCTGTCCTGGAGGACCACTGGGCTTAATCTGCTATTTATGGCCCCTAATTTATTTGGGTCGAGACCAAAATCTACATGTCTGGGAAATTTTTCCAATCATGTCAGAGAGATGTTTAGATATTTGGGCCTGAGCCTTAGCATGTTGTGCACAGAGAGCTGGAGGTTTGTGCAGAATGTTAAGAGGAAGTCCTGAAACGGTCCATCAAGCACGAGGACCAAACAAAAACTGATTACTTCACCGCGGCTCTGGCTCTCATTAATCGAAAAGCCGAGAGAGTTCATCGAAGGTTCAATTGTCAATACAATAACATAACATAATGATAAAATCTACGATTGACTGGCATCCCGTTCGGAACATACCTCACCCTATGTCTCCAGGATCACCCTCAATGACTGGTTCTAGGCTTTATGACAATCCCCAGGTTAAGAACGTCTGACGGACAACTTGTATTTACAGACAGCCTGCCATAATGCCTATTATATTAAAAATTCAGGTTAAATACAATGGTTCATAAAAATGAATGCACACACACTGCTTTGTGGCGCTTATGAAGCTTGAGGTACAGTACAGTACCGTATGTAGTTACTTTTATTATTACTGTAAAAATAATTATTATTTCGTGCTGTATTGTTATTGTTCCGACTTACAAATTCAAGACAGACTTACGGGACGGATCTCCTTCATAACCAGGTGCCTGCTTGTAGATGAGCGATTCTAACAAAAGTAGAGGTAGGTGTCTACCAGTTTGCTAAAATGGAGACATTTCCACCTCCCTGAGACCAGCATGTGCAACAGCATTACATGAGTTCTATCAGTAGATTTTTTATACACACACACACACACAAGTTGGTCTTCCTATCTAAATGGGGACCATCCATTCATTTCTATGGGAAAAACCCTAATCCCAATCACGACACCCTTAACCCCTACCCATCCCTAACCTTAACCATAAGTAACCAACCAAAATACAAGACTTTTGACACTTTTACTTTTTTGATTGCATTCACAGATTTTTATTAAATTGAGGTTATCCAAATGGGGACCTGAAGTGGTGTCCCCAAAATTAAGTGAGTTTCAGATTTTACCGCACTTTGGGGACATTTTGGTCCCCAAATGTGATCTATGCAAACAAACACACACACACACACACACATTTTAGCAGATGGTAGGTCAGGGTCTGGCTCATGGGCCCAATGGGAACATCACTCTGCCAACCCTAGGATTTGAACCAACACCCATTGAATCAGAAGTTCACTGTTCTAACCCACTGAGTCACAAGTTGCCTCATGCATGTGCTGCAAACTATAAAGGCTAGAAGGGCTGAAGGACGGTGAGAAACATCCTCAGCCTTAGATTTCCTATTGTCACTCCATTTACAGTGGACCTCAACAGCGGGGTTCATGAGAAATAAACAGACAGACTATTGGTGATGAGTTGCCTTGTACTCCCCTGGCATAGTTACGATCGCCAACTGAAATGATCGGGGCCAACTTATATAGGAAGGGGGTCAGGCGTAAAGAGAGGTGCCCTTAATAGATTTCGGAAGTATTTCGCTCGAGTATAAACTCAGGGGTTACTTGAACACCTTAATCAAGCATGAAAGCAAACACAAAAGAGTTGATTAACTTTAAGCATTTTGGCGCACTTTGAATCAAACCGCTGCCTGGTTGATTTTCAGTGCTTCCTCCTGGTATCTGTGAGGCACTATGTGAAGTAAACTGAGGGCCACAAACTTCAGAACCAGACTAACTTGTTCACAGGATCAATCTACATCATAACTGTCAACACTGTCAATGCAAAGCATGATGCATTTACAGTGTTTTTGTAATTCCACAGGAAATGTTTTAAATGCAAATATATTTTGGAATGTTTGTTTAATTTCCTTATTATTCACAGAGTTAAGCATTATACTTTTTCTGAAAGATTATACTATTTGAGATTGGTAAATAACATAGGCAAAGTTTTTTTGAGAATTCCCTGCTTTAAAAACCTGTAGTGGAAATTTGCAGATCCATTCACACAAAGAGCTGACACATCTACTGATTTATATCTACTGACTACCCCCAGCTGTTAAAATAGCTGGAGCCAAGACAAAGCATGTGTGTCCAAATTGGTCAAATGCAACTTAAAATAACTTCATAATCTCCATGTTTAAGTAAATTGACCCATCTTGTGTAGAAGTATGTTCCAGCAGATACTTTGTGATGGATTTTACAATTCCATATTGTTCCAAAGTATGCAAAATCAAAATACTGCCAGTAATCCTACAGCACAGCACCTGTGAAAATTACTCACCCAATGCTGTGTGCGCCTAATTGCTTTTTAAGGAGGATTTTAGAGTTCAGGCAAGCATTTTGCCTCATTACGAACATCATCCCCAAAGAACTCTCCAAATATTGACTAAAGCTGCAGAAAAGAGCACAATGTATATAATTACTTTTAACAATAGGTATTAATTCTTAGACAGTCTAATTTTAGTTGTCAATGGTATTATACTCAAAAACACTGGTAATGATCAAGGCACTGTAATCTTATGCAGAATCATGACACACCCTTCTCTTTGAATGCTCTGTGAAAACATTGAATGCTCTGTGAAAACTTGATTAACGCCACTCAGACAAATCGCCAGAGACTGTCAACTCCGACAGCCAGTGGAAATAATTCACGGCTTCATTGTGTGTCCATTAGGAGCTGCATTTAAAGGGCTTCTGTCTCAAAATATTTGGTCAGGCCTACAGTGAGAGAAGAACAGCTTTGGTTGGCGCCATGTGTCAGGCCAACACAAAGGCCCATTGTGATTTTGTCGAGGGATTTTGGGGTTCAGAGAGAAGGGATATTAATTGTAACTCACACTGAACGGGCCTTGTCTTTTCAAACTCTGCATTAATCTTGAACTGATTAACATTAAAAGGGGAAATGAAATGGGATTATCTTACACCTGGTGACCTAACCGAGACTGTTGACATGAGCCTATCACATCAAAAGGAATATTGGACTCCGAGGAGGTGTTCGGGCTGCTTTTCAATTGTTATCTTGGTAAAAATAAAATGATATTCTCTTCTCAGTGATAAAGTATGCCACATTCTTACTCAATGTGTCCTTAATACACAATGAAAAATCCACAAATGACAGATATGTAGTATATTATATGCTAAATTTCAAAAACTAACATTACTTAAATTCTGTGTGGCAATTTTAAAACTATGACTCAAGTGCAGAACTGCATACAAACTCTTTCATCCATCCTCAAATGTGACTCCTATTGATTAAATAGTAACCTTCCAAGGTCTTGTTCTTTAACTGGTTCCCAGGGGCGCCATAAAGGAGGGGGGTGAGTTAGGACAATTCCAAGTGACAGGAGCCCTAAAAAATCTGGAACATAACTGGACTGGTCTGAATTGAGGCGCTCAATTTAATTTGCTTTTAGGGGCCCAAAATCTCTAGCAGCGCCCCTGCTGGTTCCCTCCTGAATCTGCACTTACTGTAAGACCAGCAAACACTGAAGATGATAAATGGCATTTTGTGATAATGAATCCACTAAATTCTGCCTATTTGGCAATTCTATTCTGTCTCCAACACCTGGTGTATATCATTATCAAATTATCAGTGCCGTGCTGTGGGGCCCCTCCAGGCAGACCAGCACGACCCTTGGGAAAACAAACTATTTCACTGGAAAATAGATCCAAACCTCGAGTGCAGCTGGTGAAAAATTTCAAGCAAAATTTTTTTTAGATCCCCCTAATCAAGCACAGTCAGTGGAGGTGAAGTTGAAAACACAAAACACGGCAATGAAACATTCCAGCAAATACAATTTCTTGTCTTCTGCAGAAATCCTTCCCTCAGGTATGACTTTCAATTCTGGATTTTCAGGCTGGTCCAGTTTTAGTCGCATCAGATGAGTGGGAAAACATTTGGCAACTGGGAACAAGTGGTACCACTGTGCTGGGGAATATATGGAATATATATCAACAGCTACAAAACAATCCTGTAAAAAAGCTGTGTACACATCACTGATCAGTGATTGGAGTTGCACACAATTAATTTCGTGAAGGATGTTTTAAAATATTTGAACATTTTTTTAATTATCATGAACTGACACAAAGACATTAGTCTGTTTTTGATAACATTCTTTAAAATTAGTTTTGGTAGTGCCCACTGGACACATGAATATAAGAATAAAAATGTTTATAAATCCTATAACTGTACACACATGAATACACAGAGAGACGATCAATAATTCACATTTGTATATAATACATATACCACAATATATGGACAAAAGTATTAGGATACCCACAGTAATTACAGTAACTGGCCCCATAAGTCACAGCCATTGCTGACATACAGGTGTATAATTAAGCACACAGCCATGCAATTTCCAGTATCAAACAATGGCAGCAGATTGGGTGGTCATACTGAAGAGGTTAGTCAGCCGAGGACCGTCATTGGACACCTTTCCAGCAAGTCGGATCTCCACATTTCTGTCCTGCCAGAGCTGCCCTAGTCAATGGCGACTGAAGTGATTGTGAAATGGAAACATCTGGGAGCAAGTTCAGCTGCAAAGTGGCGGCCACACAAGCTCACAGAGAGGGACCTGATCATCATCAATACCCAACCTGAATGGCAGCAAATCCCACCAGCAATGTTCCAGCATCTAATGGAAAACCTTCCCAGAAGAGTACAGGCTATTATAGCAACTGAGGGTTAGCCGGCTTCATATTAATACCCTTTGATTCAGAGTGAGATGTTGGACAAGCTGCTGTCCACATACTTTTGTCCATATACTGCATAAACATGAACTCAAAACAGACCACACTTTTCATGCCTGACAATTACATTGTTTTCATTTGTATTTACAATAAATAGGCTTTTTATTTCATGGTACATACTGGAAATGAAACTACTCCATACAAATGTATTTACCAAGGATGACATCAAAGTTAACAAAACGTGGCCTACATCAACTTTATGAAAGTATCCTGGCCAGGAAAGCAGTTCAGTTTGCTCTGTTGGTTTATCATAAAAAACTTGCAGCTTTCTGGAATAGCACACAGTGGTTTCTACAGCATGGCCAAAATCATCTATTATTAATGGACAGTTCCATCAAATCAGTTATATCACTCAATTATTCTTCCATGTCAGTCATCACCTTCAACCCAAACACTTTTCAGTTCTGTACCCCATTCGCCTTCTAGCTCAAAATGTTAATGCTAATGTGTTAAATTCATTTATATTTATCAATTTCTGAGCTACTAGCGCAAATAATCTCCATGTTGACAGACGCGCGTATACAAATTTTTACATAACAGCTTTTGGAAATGAAAGTTTTCATAGCAAAGTTTCAGGAGGTCCAGTCTCTTAGACGATGTCCTGCTGGATTAAAATGGCGAGCAAAGAAAAAAATGGCATGCAGTCATAGCTTGCCGAAAGATGCCCATAAATGAAAAAAAAAATCTCTTCAAAAGGACGCTCTAAGGTGTGCAGTCTTAACGTCTGCGTATCGCTGGGAAAGTCAGGAAGACCAGGAACTAAAGAGGTATTAAGGACTACACTGGCTGTCCAGCCGCTCAGGGTTCAGGAATTTGAGCAGTTCTTTGACTCCCCCCTCACAGATCTGAGTTTTGAGGAATTCCTTTCTCTTCTTCTCATTCTCCTTGAATTTTGCCCAGCTCTCTGTACACATAAATCGAGAGCAGAAGGGAAAACGAACAGTTAATTATTTACACAACTGAAAATATTAGCAAGTACATTTCAAATGTTGCAGAGAACAGCCTATTAATAACAAGTAAGAAGTATACAGTTTACATCATTTTGATGGGTTGAAATTCTTTGTCAGCAATGAATGTTGGTGAAAAGAACACAAAAGGCGTTTCAGGCCTTACAGCTAAATTTAATTTCCTTTTGCCAGTTCCTGTGTCCAGGGTGGATTTTTTAGTGGCTCATACTAAGCACATTGAAGCCCCCTAAAATCCTACACACAGGAAATGTGTCCACTGTGTTCTTTCAAGTGGGCTGATCCTCACCTTGCAGGACAGACCAGTCTGACCTTGGATAATATGATAATTATTGAGTCTGTGCCCAAACTGACCCAATTTAAAAGAATTAAACTGTAGCCTTCATAATCTTGAAAAACAACGAATTTCAATATATCCATATAGTAATAATATATATAATAATATAATATGTTATATATATTGCATATAATATATAATATGAAATATATATTTATATACATATATACATAATACTTTACTCTTCGTTTAATTTACGACAATGTACTGTTTATTACTGTTTACATTCCAAGAGTATGTTATTACTTTAAAGATTGAAAATTGCAGACATTTTTAATCTGCTAGATACATTTTGTGTGTCTGCTTCGTGTTTTGCCTCCTATAGCTTCTTTAGACTTTAATAACTACAGAACTTGTCCAGACAGGACATCCTTAACGTCCATTAGTCCAAAAAGATGGCATAACAGAACTTACCCTCATCTACTGTAGTCAATAGAACATAGTTCTCTGGGTGCTCAGCAAGATCCTTCTTCTGGAGATCCCATGTTTCAGCCAGGTGCAAAACTCCTAGCAGTAATTGACATCTTTAATGTTATTCTTCTTAAATTACATGAAATATTTAACAAATAATTATTCATTTCATTATATTTAATCTGTCATATTTGATTAATATTTTAATATTATAAATGCATTTTATAATAAACTCTTTCACTGTTATATAATATTTCCCTAAATTATGCAGGATGTTCTTATGACTTTTAGAACTAATACATAAACAAGAGTGTGCTTGCTGGGCAATTTCAGCTCTTACTACTAACTCTTTTCAATTTACCTTCTACAGTTTTCCACACGTGTACTTCAATCACATTTGCTCCTTGCTTTTCGACTGCAATGACCCTGATTGTGTCCTGTGTATCAGCCTCTGAAGACGGCTCGACTTTGTAAACTAACAGGCTGTTACTGTTCTGCCCAAGGCCGCACTGTGTCCTGTTTGATTCGGCTTTCAGTTCTCAGAGACGCCAACGTTGCATTAGATGAAAAGTGAGAAAAACAGAATCATATTTAATTCCACTGAAATAAGATCTTTAATATTGTTAAATCGTGGTGCATACATTCCAAACAGAAGTAAACACGTAAGGAATCAAACTGAAAATAGGCCCTATGGAATAAATATGTATGCATACAGCTGTAACCACCGAGTACCTATCAACAGCAGCACGTTACCTGGACATGTCTTGCAGCACTTGCCCTCGGCCTTCTCGGGGTGCTGGCAGGGATACTGGTTGGGGCACGTGATGCGTTTACACTCCTGCACACCATCCCTGCAGGTGCACACAATGCATTCCAGCACTTTCCCCAGCACTGGATGCCACACGTCCCCGTGGGAGTAAGTCCTGCCACTGTACACGCAAGCTGGGAAGAGACGCCACCCAATTCACCATGTTTAACTGCATTACGAAATGGCCCAGTGAAATATGCACAGCAGGCTCTTCTGTTAATTGCTGAAATATGCTCCTCATACTTTGACTTTAGAAGTGCCATAATTATTTAGTTATGTAAATCATCCTGAACACTAGAATATTTTTGCATTTCAACAATTTGATGAAACAGACACAGACAGACAGACAGACAGACAGACAGACAGATAGATAGATAGATAGAAAGTAAAATCAGTAATAAAATAAAAAGTAATTCATTTAAAAAAAATATGTACAACTGTCGTAAACAGAATGCAAAATAGCTGTTGTGCAAATGACTGATATACATTCGATGTCCACTCAGCATAATGGTGCAGTTAGCAGAAGCAGAGTTGGCAGTGGGTGAACAGAAGAGCTCCTGAAGGGCTCACGTTTGTATTTGGGAGGAGATGAGTCTGCAACTGAAAGTACTCCTCGTGATATTGAGGGGGTGGTCTTTATTGACTTTATTGGGGGTGGTATTTGTTGTCTTTATTGTGGGTGGTCTTTATTGTCCATTAGGGAGAGCAGTTTGGACATCACCCTTCCCTCCACAGCTACCTCAGTTCTGTCCAACTTCACCCCAGCCGGCCTTCTTAATCAACCTGTCAATCAATCAGCGTTATGGCCTCCTTCTGTTTGACATTAAATCCTCAACCAACAGCAGCAAAGAGCAGGACACAGGCAACAGTGGTCTGGTAATCATGTTTAACAATCTTCTGCAGATCTGAAAGGACCTAAGACTCCATCAGGAAGATAAGTCAGCTTTGCCGTTTTCTGTAGCCTGCCTATGTGTTGTTACTCCATCCTGGTCTGTCACTGATGTAGACTCCCAGGTATTTATATGAGGGGACCCTCTCCACACTCTCCCTTTGGATGGTGACAGCTGCCAGTGGTTTTCAGGTTCACCTGATGTCCACCATCACCTCTTTTGTCTTCTTGACTTCGAGTTGTAGGTGATTCAACTGACGAAGCTCTCCACAAGACTCCTGTACTCTGTTTCCTTCCCATCACAGATACACCCCACAACTGCAGTCATCTAAGACTTCCAGGAGGTGGCAAAGACCAGACGGTGGCATATAGAGTCAACAGGAATGGTGGTCAACAGTACAGTACCTTGGGGTGCCCCTGTGCTACTACTAGTTCCACATTGAACTGGGGCCTACATGCGAGGTAGTATTTCATCCAGGCCGTCATCCACCTGCATCCTTCCGAGCTTTTCATCCAGCAGACTTAGATAGAGCAGATACATCATCCACGCTGATGGGAGCCTGCTATATAAATCATAGTGGATCAAGATAGTCCTTCACATGGAGGCTAAGGTGATTCAGGACGATCCTTTTGAAGGTCCCCATGATGTGAAATGATAGTGCTACTAGTCTGAAGTTATTGAAGGCTCTGCCACCACCTTTCGGGGGCGCTGGGTCAATGCAGGATGTTTTCCAGAGGGGAGGGATCTTTTGCGGGGGAAGGGCCCGTTTTAGGGAAAGATGGAACGGGTGCAGAAGAACATCTCCAAGTTGAACAGCACATGCTCTCAGCTAGAGGTGGACAACCTTTTGTTGGGTATAAAGAGTCACAGTCACAGGGTACTCAACTAGTTGGTTGAAACAGAATCCTGGTCTGGATTTTTACTTTCTAGACCTGAACTTCCACCTTTGCTCTCAGCACCCTGTCCGTATGAAGCTGTCCTAGCTCTCGTTTCAGCAGGTCAGCAGATATAAAAATTATTAAGTATGTAGATGGTACCACCATCACCCACACCATCTCTGACAACAGTGAAGTACAATATCCTCTATAAGTGGACAGATCAGTCACCTGGTGCACTGACATTGACCTTTGAGTTCATTGTGGACTTCGGGCATTCACAGAACACCACAGCTCCACCGTCAGCAAATAACAATAAGAGACGCTTTCAAATTTCTGGCCAATTCCTCCTGAGGTTCTCTAAAATCACCTCATCGTGATGGCAAACCAGGGACTGCGTCTCTTCAGGCAAGGTTTGGAGCCAGTCACTGTCTCCTTGTGCAATTTTACACCTCCATCACAGAGAGCATCCTGACACGTTCCATCACAGAGAGCATCCTGACACGGTCCATCACAGAGAACATCCTGACACGATCCATCACAGAGAGCATCCTGACACGTTCCATCACAGAGAGCATCCTGACACGTTCCATCACAGAGAGCATCCTGACACGGTCCATCACAGAGAACATCCTGACACGTTGCATCACAGAGAGCATCCTGACACGGTCCATCACAGAGAGCATCCTGACACGGTCCATCACAGAGAGCATCCTGACACTGTCTATCACAGAGAGCATCCTGACACGGTCTATCACAGAGAGCATTCTGACACTGTCTATCACAGAGAGCATCCTGATACGGTCCATCACAGAGAGCATCCTGACACGTTCCATCACAGAGAGCATTCTGACACGTTCTATCACAGAGAACATCCTGACATGGTCCATTCCAAGCTTGGTTTGGTGGAATGGATTCAGTCACAAAGAGAAAACGGCAGCAAACTGTCACAAATGCCTCAAAGATCTCTGGCACTGACCTTCTATCCACTGAACACCTCTACATTCAAAGCACCACTAAATGTGCACAGGGAATTACAGAGGACCCCTCACCTGATCTGTTTTCAGCCACTTCCCTCAGGTAGACAACTCTGATCGCTCACAACAAATGCTAGCAGACTTCTCAACAGTACCTCCTGCATATAATCACACACAACAATGCACAGTTTGCACGATTTAATGTTTACATTTACATCAGCACAGACGCCTGACAATCTGTTTGCAGATAAATGCATATTGCACATGATATATGTTTCATATTGTATTTATAAATGTACGCTGTGTGCTGCATATTAATTAGTCTGTATCATGCCCCTTTCTGAATTGCACTACCTTAGACATACTGAATTCAGGGAGGTGGATGAGGGACAACTGGGAGGGGGATGGACAGTATTACAGCTATAAGCCTTCTTAGTAATGCCATAAAGCAAGCTAGTCCCGGGTTGTGTTCTCCCTAGTCTTGAACTTGACCAACAGGGTGAAGTTTTTGAGGATGTTGCAGGGGAACATGACTGAGACACCCAGAGACGGCAGTGAGGGTGCTTGGATGCTGCCAGGGCGTGACGTCAGCGACAACGATGACGGCCTGTGAGAACTCAGGCGGTAGGTATTAAGGCCTCCGGTTCACAGTGGGTTGCAGGTTTGTTCTTAAAAACGCATGGCTGGATTACACCATCTGGAGGTAATAAAGATGGCCAGCCCACCTCCTTTCACTTTTCCGCTTTGTTTACTCTGATCCGCTCGTTCGAGCTGGAAGCCGTCCAGCTGAGCAGCGGCATCCGGTGTCTCCCCCTGCAGCCGCGATTCTGTGAAGCACATTCAGCTGCGCACATGGCATTCCCTCTGGCTCCTCACCAGTGCAGACAGTTCGTACCGCTCCTTTCAAAGCGATCTTACGTCGCCCGTTCTCACGGGGGGCAAGGAGTGCTTTCCCTGTCTCTCAGCTTGACACCCCCTCGTTTGCCATGGATCCACAACAATAACTCTGTAAGAATCCCTTTCAGTTTGGAACTCCTGCTGATTGCCAGCGCAATGAGCTGTTCTCATGAATAAAACATTGCAATTAAAGTGTAGGAAGGTGATAAATAAAAAACATAGATATAGATAGATAGATAGATAGATAGATAGATAGATAGATAGATAGATAGATAGATAGATAGATAGATAGATAGATAGATAGATAGATAAATGGTACCTTCATAATGCATTCATAGAACATTCATAAGCACCATGTAAGAATACCGTAGCATTGTAACATACTTCAACAGCTGTAGTTTACATTCATAAAAAACATCCTATGACAATTGTATAATGATATGTTTGTTATTAACACATATTAAAGCTGTCAAGGCATGTTACGATGTTAAGGTATACTTACATAGTACTGATGAATGTTCTATGCATGCATTATAAAGGCATTATGAAGGTGCACTGAATGTTCTATGAATGCATTGCAAACTACAAGGTGCAGTTAATTAAAGCATTACCAGATAGATAGATAGATGGATGGATGGATGGATGGATGGATGGATAGATAGATAGATGGATGGATGGATGCATAGATAGATAGATAGATGGATAGTGTGCTGCTGCATGTCTATGACATCCCAGCCCCTTTTGTCAGGCACCAGCAGAGTTCAGCCCTCACCCTTCTGCTGGTTCTTCTGTAGGAGGATCTTCACGGTGGTCCCCGCAACCCCTTTCAGCCGGAGGCTCTGGAGGCCTGCAGCCCTCGGTGAGCCCCGCGCTGTGGACGGAGTGGCCCGGACAGACTTGCCTTTCGGCTGCTGTTCTCCAGCACAGTGGTCTTGGGAATGCCTCTTGTATTTTTACGGAGGAACAGGAACAAGCATAGTTAGCATCAGAGGTTAGGGTAGATTCATACATCTGTGTTACTCCTCTCAGTAGGTGCACGATGAATGGAAGTCATTTAACTACCAAAGAAAATAAGACAAGATGAGGGACCAACTTCAAAAACGTTTTTGACCTCAGACTGACTTTAGTTCACGATGCTATTGAATTGGCCAATACAATTAGAACTTCCATATTTACAAGTAATATTGGCATTTGGAAAAAAATTGTTTTGATGTGCTTTCTTTAGTATAAGCAATGTGCTAACTGTCAAATGAAGTAGAATTCATATGAAAAAAACAATATATAAAGCAATCTATGCATAAATACTTATTTTCTTGTTTAACAGAGCACATACAACTCCTCGATTCAATTGCTGTCCTCCTTCCTCTGCTGAAGCAGAATTTGCAGTACTGGAAGAATCTAATGAGAAGAGAATAATTATGTGGTTCATGTGACAAACTACAAAGGACGCACTGACATGAATGTAAAACTGAAAAGAGACATTAAATCACTGCTGATTTATTTTATCCATTTTATCCGTTTTTGGTTATTCAGCATAACTACATATAAATGGCTGTTACAGTATGGTTAGAAAAAACAAACACTGTTCTACCAGCTTGGATGACAGACACCATCAGTGCATAGACACTGCAAATTAATCAAAATAACACTGGTTCCACACATCCAGTATTGGGAAAATATGATTACCATTGCACATAAGACAACAGGTATCAGGCACCGGGACCGGAGTAGAACACGTTAGTGGTAAACAAGTCTTCAGCGCACAGAAGATATTTCCATCCTAAAGCACAATCGAAGCAGAATTATTCAGAGATACAACCACCATATACATATTATTTAGTGCAGTTTGCTGACCATCCTTGCTGAGAGTAAGTTTTCAATAATTATATAAACACATATAAGCATATATTATCGATTGTAGTACATGACATTAAGTTTCGTTTCGGAGGTGAGTGTTACTTAAAATTAAATTAAGCACTTAAGTATCCAGTAATGAACGTGACTACGACTTACAGAGCAGGTACACATGACGCACTGATTCGTTTGCCGGGATGGGAAGAGGTCATAATTGGCAAAGGTCTCCCCAGTTTGGTACTGGCTCCCGTTATAACGGCACGTCTTGACAGGAGCCCTTAAGCCCGCAGGAGTCCTACGCTCGTCTTTTCAGGATGGGGCGGAGGGGGGGTGGCATTCCAAATACAGGTAATTCAAGACGTTATTTACCGCTCTTCACGTAGTACTCTAGATTTTAAAGTCACATGTCTTCATTAAAAAAACGCAGATTGCCATACAAAGGTTGCATTGCATAAACACAAGTTTCATCCGTTATAATTTCTATAGCAGATAACCTTTTACCTGCGCAACGGGGGCAGCACTGTTGAGATTCAGTTATGGGATGTTCACACCTAACGACAGGGCACTTAATGGTGTTACATTTCACATGGCCAGTCTAGCAAAAGACATAACGAGGCAATTAAATAAGTGCACACAAATGAGCAGAACGTAAGTATATTCCAGTTTCTTGCCAAGATGTGACAGCATCATAACCATTACAACCATTCAGGAGTAATAACAAAGCTAAAATAAGCTGAAATAAACTTGTAGCCTATAACACAATTATTGCAGCGAAATGTCTCAATATCACAACAGCAGACGCTCGGCTGCCGCGACATACGGCACTCAGTAAGTAAAATACCTTTCAGTGCAGGTCAGAAACTTAACCGGCTTCTGGCAACGAATTTGAATAATCGAGGCAAAAGTAGGCCTACCTCTGTGCAGACACATCGCATACAAAACATTAATCCGAAGGGCTCAAGATACGGATGCCAGCTGTCTCCGGGACGGTATTCCTTTTCTTTGAAAGTACAGACTACATCAGACTCTGTCGCTGAATTAATAACAATAATAAAAATACAAAAAAAGTTATTGTCTGTGAAAGAACAATCCCCGTTACACTCAACATGCCTAAATTAATATCATAGTGGCTAAAAAAGTTATATTGCACAACTCCATAAACGCCCTGACAAAATATACTGATGCTCTTGCACAAAACATTCATGGTTCCTACACATAAGTCTGTCTAGCGTAAGGTGAGCTTTGGTGGGTAATATATTGAGTCAGATTCTAAAGGATTGTCAAGTTACATTTACAATAATCTATAAATCGATTATATTTTACGCAGTCATACAATAGTTACTATACAAGCCAATGTTATTTACGTTGCCAGCCACAGTATATGGTATTAACTACCAAACAATTTTAGTACAGAGACCATTTTCTTTTTTATCTAATGCGCTCACACCATAATCACTTTCTTTTAACCACATTATTACTTTTAACTCATCCTATTTATAAATTTGCTATCAAAAGGACACGTTGATCATTTCAAATAGCATAATCAAAATAGCAGCCACTTTTAACAGGGCTAAGGAATAATTTTAAGAAATGGTCTCACAAAAAAAGAGTAAGATTTCATACAGCTAGATAAGTAAGACATAATTGCGAGGATATGAAATCATTGCATCTAAAAGTATTTAAAATCATAGCATAGCCTACACATTATTCTGCCTGCAACCATCCAAAAGTTATAATGGAATAAGCTTCCATTTACTATTTTACAGTATTTCAGGAAGTCTGCTCTACAAATATGCAAAGCTATGTTTCTCATTTATTTCTACTTACTTTTTCTGGTTCTTACTGCCTCCACGTAACAAACACCGTATAAGGGCAGGATTAAAAAGAGAAAAATGTGCTTCATGTCTGAACCGATACGTCTTTCATATAATTGAATTTCTCAATGAAATCGCTGCCAAAAAAAAAGTACAGTATCCTTAGATTTTAACTGCGACAGAAATCCCCCAAAGCGCTGAGACACTCCGCTTCAGGTCATTAAAAAGATTGCAAAGTTTCACCGGAGATGCGCGCCTCCTACAGGAAAATACACAACTTTCAAGTGCAGCAAAACGAAAAAAACATAAATCGTTCAACATTAACTGGGGAATTACTTAGCACATTAAAATGAAAATAAAATAAAAAGGGGATAATAACTAGATTAATTTCTGACAAAAATAATTAATGCTACGAATGTATGTCTGCTATTGTAACTGTTTTTGCTACCGTTTTGCAACTTATTTTTAGCTAGTTATCAGGATGTAATACCCTGCTGGGTGCTGCCGTTCTTTTCAGTCCACTCAACCACAACTTGAGGTAAAAGAAAATCCCGTAAATGGTTGATGAGGCGTCATTTTGCCTATCATTAGCAGGGATGCATCGTCTCTTCTTAAAATGTGCAAAGCAGGGAAAAATAACAGATTTCAAAATTCACACCGGAATGATGCATTGTAGAAGGAACGGGACATGCAGCTACAAAGGAACAACGAGTTGAGGAAGAACATTTTATAATACATTTAGATTAATATTGCCAATCTTATACACAACAATATGTTTATAAATGGCTAGGTTCTGATGTTTTAAAGCAAACCATCAAGTCAAGTCAGTTTTATTTATAGAACACATTTAAAACAACAGCAGTTGACCAAATGGTAGAACAATTTTATAGACAGCAAACAGTCAGTAAACCCTGCAAAATTATGAACTGTAGTCTTCACAGACTGTTACTGAATTCTCTTTAATCTGTGTTTTTCCCATAACTGCTTATACGTGACAGCATGAAATTAATGTCGCTTTGCCTGGAACCAGTGTCGTGCCTCAAGGTATGTTTAGGAACCAGTGCAACATGGAGATGAAGACGTGAATGAATGGAATGCTCTTCTCTGCCAGAAATTCAATAATTCTTTTGTTCAATTTCATCAATATAACATAATCATTGTTACATATGTTCATTTAGCAGATGCTTTTATGCAAAGTGAAAGGAGGTCAGTCCTTGGAATAATTTGGGCTTAAGGACCTCCCTCAGGGGCCCAATGGTGAAATCGTCCTGTTAACCACTGGCTCCGAACCAGCAACCTTCTGGTGACAGACACGCTGTCATAACTCATCAAGCCGCACATCAAACCCAATTAGTAGTCATTCTTAAATACAACACATTTAGACAGATTTCACTTTCTGTTCCAGTGACATACAATTATTTCTCCAGTTGGTGAATCAAAATAATAATTTTAATTTATTCCAATAGCCTGTTTATGCTAAATATTCTATTTGCTACAGTGGAAAGAAATTATATATGCAATTCATTGACATTGACTTAGGATATTTGTATTGTTGTAGTTTCTGTGCGCAAGTTTTTTTTTTTTTAATAAGACCTGTCATCAATTTCATATGTATATATTGGAATATATATTTTAATCTTTTGCTATGGTGCTTTCTCCTGACTGTACCTCCTGATTTGCCTGCTCCATCGCTTTCATGTAAACACTCCTATATTTCCCCTTTATGTCCTGCAATAACGACAGAGCCTCTTCATATTCTTTCTTGTTGACGTTCTTCCCTTTAAGAACTTCGTCTGTGAAAAAAAGAATAGGTGATGCATAATACTTTACTTATTTTCTTTAAATACTAAGTCAATAAAAAAAAATGTAACTACCCAATTGGACTTCCTGTGTCGTTTTTCTGTCTTTCATCATAATTAGGAAATCTTCAACCCTGTCTTTTTTTATCAGTCTTGTGTTTGCTTCTAGTGGTTTTGCAACCTGTGAAGTAAAATGGGATGTTTTACTTTTAAACTTGTGAGGGCTAGGAATGCATTCCCATCTAGTTTTTATGGTTACAATAAGTGACACCAATATGTTTCACCTTTTTATTTTCTCTGTTTGGCTTTGGAAGGTGGTTGTCATCCACACTGGTATCTCTGTTTACATGAAGATTCCTGAGAGCCTGTTCCAAGGCTCTGGTAGTCTGTTGAATTCCTGTAGTAACAAATAAATGTCGTCATACAAACATGCATTATGTGGCTTCATTGATTTATTCAGTATATGCATATTTTTTCCTCACCTCTTGGCTGAATCATATCAGGGTCGGGTTTTGCATCAAAGAGCATTTCATAGCCTCTGAATTGCTCTGGAAGTGTATGTTCATGTTTTGGTTGATTCACCTCTAACATGTGCTGCATAGGTTCATCATCCACCTGCCACAAGAAAACAACGGACTTGGTGATAATTTTCAGGCAGAAAAATTTAAATATGAGTACTGAAAAATTAATGCTGAGTAGTTTTGTAAAGGTGTATTTTAGTATTCTTTAGTTACATGTTGTACACACACAAACAGACACACACGCACACGAAGAGTCAAAGCTACAATCACCATCAAAGGTACTCCAATTGAGTACTGAGTAAAGGGTTAGTGTGATGTTTCATCTATAAAAATTTCTAACATCCTTGGAGTATTGAGTGTATATTGTTTATATATAAATATATAGTTCTCTGGAACTGTATAAACCTGTGTCATAAAGAATGCTTTTCCATCTTTGTCTTCCACATTTGGCGGAGCTCTGGGTGTCTGATCTGAAGTTTCCAGCATGTGGTCACCCGCTGGATTCACTGTGCCTTCACTTTGAGAAGTGTCTTCCTGATGCTTTGAGGACTGCAGTGGCAAACATTCTCGGGGGAAAGCACTCTTCTCGAATGCGTCTTTGGTTTTTTTTTCAACAACTGACACAATGTCATGTGGAGACGGATTACTGGGAGCCTCGAGGTATAAAGGCAATTTTGGGACCTTTGGGATTTTTGTGGTTATCTGATAATCAAAAAAATGAATATAGCAAGACATCTCAGATAAAATATGGGACGCAGTAAATATATGTTGCATAGTAGTTACATCTTTTTTAAATATTGTGCTTTTCTTTGAGTATCAAGGTCAGTGCTGACAGGTCATTTAAACATCGGAACGTTGCCATATCTTTTTTTTTTTTTTTAGACACAAATGCCTTGCTAGCATTTAATACCTTTCGTTTTGGATTGACTGAGACCATAGTACGTGATTTCATTGGGATTTCCGTCTTCTTGCGCTCTATTTGAATGCCCAGATGGTCCTGAAGAATGCTTGTTAGAATCGGGGGGTCACCTTCAATGCAGAGGAACAAGTTTTAGCAACACTGACAAGCCAACCTGGAGCCTCTCCAGCAAGCAGAAGCACCAACCTGGAAAGGATGCTAGTATACTGCTGGGTAGGCTTCATGAGTCATTTCCTGTATTTTCTGACCCCACTAGATGGTGCTGTCTGTTCAACAAAGGTTTCAAAACATGCCTCTAAGCAAACTGAGAGCACCATCTAGTGGGGTCAAAAAATATCGCAAATGGTTCATGAGCAATAGTTTTGGTCATAACTAGTACACACACTGACACACATTCATTCCCAAGGACAATTCCCCAAACCCTGTGATTTCAGGCTTTAAAAGAAAACTGGAGCAAACCCATGCAAAAAAGGGAGAATAGTAAAACGTCCTCGAGACATGAGACTGGTGAGCTGAATAAGGTGTTTTTGAGCAGGGGAATTTATAATAATTAACACTTTATTGTCCCAATGGGGAAATTGCTTTAATGCTTGCTCTTTGTAAGGTAAGTTTTTTGTGAAGGGCAGCCAGCCATAGTAGCACCCAGGGAGCTGGGGGTTAAGGGCCTTACACAAGGACCTACAGAGGCTGGGTTAGAACCAACAACCTTCTGATTACAGGCACACAGGCTTAGCCCACTGAACCACACGCTACCCCTTTGCAAATTGCGTTGCAGGCTGGCCCTCCAGGACTTGAACTGGGGAACCCTAGACTAAAGCAAATGCCACTGAGCAACCATGCCCCCACCAAGGGACATATATAACATACCCCAATGTATGGATAAATCTTCAGAAACAGGCAATCATTGCATTAAAACGTCGAAGGAGAAAGAGGATCCCAATAAAGATGAAGTAGATTATGACCATACCACTCCTTTGTGTGGTAAGAGGATTTGAATGAATCACCAGCTCACTGAGCAACGGGAAAAGGGCCACAGCTAGCAGAGCTTCTTCCTCTGCAATCTGGAGTTGAAAAATGTATACGGTCATTGCACAGAAGTTACATCTTTTAAAGCCAAACAGCAGCATTCCCATGACAAACCTTGTTGTCAGCCAAGTTCAGGTGCTGGAGTTCTGGAAACGGTATTTGGAGTTCCTGTAGAAGCAAGCATGTTGATCTCAGAGGATTTTATACACAGGTGACAGAAAATCTGCTCTCACATAAAATACAGCTATTGTAAAGTGTGCGTATTCATCAAGGCTCTTGCAGAGAGATATCATACACCAAGACTTACATCAGTACAGCTGTCACCATGTTCTTGTTGAATTAACTTCAAATGAGAATAATCTATATTTGAGAAAAAAGAAGAACTGTGTGTCAAGGGGTATAATCTATGTCAAAATAAATTATATTTAGTTTATATCGTGCTCTCTCGTGAAATACAAACCAGCTTTCTGCACTGACTCACTTTTCAAGCTGGGTGCTCTGTCTTGTGCAGGATGTTTACTATGTTTCTTTGTGAAAAAGTCCATGACCCCAAAGTCTGCTATCTGCTGCAGGTAAGGTACTTTGCTGATATTGTTGCCCTGCAGGTTTAAGTGCCGTAGCCTACAGTTATAAGGGAATAATTTTTAAAAATCACTTAAGGGTACCAATTTCAATAAAACAACACATTCAAGGTTTTAATCTGGGATTTAGTTTTTACATCCATCTCTCTTCCAACCTCTTACCCAATGTAGGGTCATGGTAGGGACTGGACAGGATGCCAGTCCATCACAGGACACAAGACAAGGGACACCCTGGACGGAATGCCAATCCATCACAGGACACAAGACAAGGGACACCCTGGACGGAATGCC